GCTAATGGAAACAGTTCTATTAAATTAAGCAATGGTACTTCCCCAAGATTTGATTTAAAGCGTGGAGTACGGCAGGGGTGTCCTCTTTCTGTTTATCTGTTCCTTCTCGCTGCCCAACTTCTTAATTTACACATTAAAAACAGTCCTATTAAAGGCATTAGTGTGGCAAATAATCATATTTTAATCAGTCAGTTGGCGGATGATACAGCCCTGTTTCTGGCAGATGCTTCACAGGTTTCAGTTGTGATTAATCTTATTCGCTCTTTTTCCAAAGCTTCCGGTCTCACCCTCAATCTTAGCAAATGTGAACTGTTACCAGTGAATAACTGCTCTGCTTCCGTAGTGTATAATATCCCTGTAAGAGACTCAGTCACATATCTTGGTGTACATATCACCAAAGATAGAAAAGCCAGAGGTAAGTTAAACTTTTTTCCCCTCATTGAAAAAACTCAAAAGGTTTTCAACCGATGGTTACAAAGAGATCTTTCTTTGAAAGGCAGAGTTCTAATCACCAAGGCGGAAGGTATTTCTCGTTTAACCTATGCTGCTCAGTCATTACATGTAGATAACTCCTTTTGTAAATCTGTCGATAAGATGCTATTTAATATTATATGGAAAAATAAAACTCACTATATTCGTAAGTCTGTAGTTCTGAATTCTTACAACAAAGGGGGCTTAAATTTCATAGACTTTAGCTCTCTCAACAACACATTCAAGATAAATTGGATCAAGCAATATCTCAAACACCCTACTTCCATCTGGAATTTTATTTCTCATTATGTCTTTTCACAGTTAGGTGGCCTAAAATTTATTCTGCTCTGTAACTATAAAATACAAAAAATCCCAGTTAAACTCTCCAATTTCCACCAACAGGCTCTTTTAGCATGGGCTTTGCTTTACAAGCATAACTTCTCTCCACAGAGGTGTTATATATGGAACAATCTCAATATTGTTTATAAGAACAAGTCGCTTTTTTACGATAATTGGTTCAACAATGGTATTTTATTAGTCAGTCAACTCTTTAATAAGAATGGACTACTATACAGTTATTCAGAATTTCTTGCCAAATATAAGATTCCAGTAAGCCCAAGAGAATTTTCTATAGTTTTTGATGCTGTGCCCTCAGGTCTTCGTATGTTATTCAGGTCAATTGATATCTCTCCACCATTATCAATGTCACCCCCAGATCCAACTCAGCTTCCGTTAGGTAAAGTCTGTTTCTCTACCTATAAAGCATCGAACTCCAAAATTAGATCCTTGTTTCAGGCGGACCTAGTCTCTATTTCTCCTACATCCTTCTATTGGAATAAGTTTGACCTCAACATAGACTGGGAAAAAGTCTGGTCCTTACCCCAGAAGTTCCTTTTAACTAACAAAATTAAAGAAGTCTCGTTCAAGTTACTACACAGGTTTTACCCCACAAATGTATGCTTAAATAAGTTTAAGAATGACATTGATGTAAAATGGTCCTTTTGTGGCTTACATCCTGAAACTATTTCACATTTATTTTGGTCTTGTGAATGCACTTATAAGCTCTGGAAAGACATTAATTCATTTTTAGTTGACAATATTCTTCCTGAGTTCTCCCTGTACTACAAAAATGTAATTTTTGGTTGTTTTAGTGACTGTGGGAAGGACAATGGTGCTCTCTTTCTAATAAACCTAATCTTATTTGTTGCCAAATTCCATATCCATAAATGTAAATTCAGTAATAAAAAAAAAACACTTTTTTCGGTGCTAAAAACTGAAATGGAACAATATATTTCTACCATCTCTTCAATGCAAAACAAAAAAGCTGTTAAAACTGTAGTTAATTGTACTATGTTTAATGTGTTTATTTGAGTAATAATCTTGTGTTTTAGTGTCTGTATTTTTTTATTTATTTGTATTTATTTTATTTATTATTTTTTTATATTTTTTTATATATTTTTTATTTTTGGGGGTATTTCTTTAACTTTTGCTACTTTGATTGTATTGTTGATTATCTTCAATAAAAAAAAAAAAAAAAAAAAAAAATAGATGCACACCCTTGAATGAGCGCGGATTTCTAGTGCATTTACTTGAACTTCTGAGGTAATATCTTTGGTTTAACCCATTTGAATAATTGAGAGGCGGCCAAAATCAGATTTTGAAATGGACTGAACAAAGCTCTTTACGAACTTGACGTGCGATGCCATGCTGACTGACATGTATGCGCATGAATCACTGTCACACACGCACAAGCTCAGAGCAATATTGTAAGTTACAGCATGATAATACATTTTTATAGCAGAATAATAATACATCACGATACACAGTCTCACTTTTAGTTACGTCTTTTAACTATTATAATATTTCGAAGGGCAAAAACATGAACTTTCACTATTGGCTTTAATTCTTCAATCAGCTGCCACTTTAACGCGAGGCCAGTAGCTCCACCCACGTCCTGCCTTTTTGCCCATTTTCTGTTATCCGGTAGTGACGAAAGGTGACGCGTTGCCAAGATGGCGACGGCCGGCCCCGCCCACTTTAGGCTTCAAAAACCATAGATATCATAGAATCATTAGTTATATGATGTCTATGTCAAAAACGCTCTTCAGAAACCTACGGGTGACGTCACGGACACTACGTCCATATTTTTTTACAGTCTATGGATTCAGCGCATTCTTCATTTTTTCTTCATTGACAGTTTTTTTAGGTCATAAATGTTAAACGAATTACAAAAATAATCAGGCAAACTAATATACTTTTGTCTAATTTCGCCAATTTGAAGTGAAAATAGGCCTATGTAACGTTACTCATCACTCATGTAATGTACCGTAATAATTAGTTTACTGTCATTCTGAGGGGACAAGAAAAATGAATCCTAATGTATACAATATACAGTTTAATGGAAAAGTGTTTTTCCTTATATTTCTTTGAGGGCCAGTAAAAATATAGAAGGGGCCAGCAAAGCTCTGGGGGCCAGTGGGGATTTTTTTTATGTTGAGCTCTGGTATGTTATTCTAATGTTGATCTAGCTTAAAGTACTTAGTCTCATACAGCCAACACACAACCTAACTACCAACATTCAACACACATGAAAGCTTGACAAGATCCATAATTCAGCTTAAAGGTGCTCTAAGCGATGTCACGCGTTTTTTAGGCCAAAACATTTTTTGTCACATACAGCAAACATCTCCTCACTAACCACTGGCTGCCTGTCCCCTGAACACACTGTAAAGAAACGCGATCTCTGTAGACAGCCCATGCTCCACAAACAGCAACAAAAACAAACTGCGGCGACCCGCTCCCCGAAACATAACAAACTGTTCCAGCCAATGACCGACAAGAAGGGTTTGGGGGGTTAGTGTGCGGATGAGGAGGAGGGAGGGTCTAGCTAGCCTCCGTTTTGTTTGACAATAGTTCGAACGTCAACAAGAAGTGACATCACCCAGGATCGCTTAGAGAACCTTTAATGTGGAATATACGTCAACAATATACGCCTTTGTTATTGTAAGAGGTTAGTGACCCCTGGTGGCCGTTAGAGTGTGCAACGATCTGCACTTCGGATTCTGACCGGATATAGTAGACCATCCGGGTCTCTTTGGAACACTCATTTCAACATACCCGTAATTCCTCAAATAAAAACCGGTATTCAAATAAACACCGGGCCTCTGATAGTGGCCGGGTGCATGATCAACGCAGACAAATAAAGGCCGGTCTCAAATAAGGCCGGGGGAAAATTAGTGTGGATAATCTCTAAATGCCTTTCATTGAAGAGATGTTACACCTGTCCACTTCATGCGTGTTCTGTGATCTGATGGCTATCTGATTGTGAAAAGACCAGGTATAAATGCCATCCGAAGCGCATTCGAGACGATTTAAAGCCGATCACTCAAACCACTTCTTCAGGAGGAGATCTGAGACGAGATTCCAGACGAAACTGCACAAGTGTAAATCAAATGCATCTGATTGTTGAAACCACGTATCTAAATTGTACTCCTCCCAAAAACGCTAAGAAATAAATGTGTGAGAGCGTGTTATAGGCTATGTAATGTTATAGCAAGTTGTGACAACGCTACTGCAACACGCATCACGGCAGATGAGCATCTATTCATAAAGCAAACGTGCAAACTATTGCAAATTAAAGTGAAAGTAAGTCGCAGACAATACTCCTCATCATTAAAAGTAAAGAAACGAAATGATCTTACCAGGGCTGTTGCCGCGCTCTCTTATTGCGGTCTTTTGATTTTGAAATTAGCTGATCTATCAAATGCAGCAGCTCATGTCTGTTGCTTTCGGTTTCGTGAACTCCATTAAATATGCACATAGCGCGATTTATATCCGTTTTGCGAAAATGCATTTGTAAGCTGATTTAAGTAGAATTGTTCTGATAAATCAGATAGCTTTCCGATCTGAGAAAACGCATGAAGTGGCCAGGTGTAAACATCCCTAATGTGCATTCAAGTTCATCGTAACGTAGATGGTAGTAGACAATAGATGTAACACAGATATAATTTAGTGCTGCTAGTGTAACGGTCTTTTCAACAACTTTATTGAAAACGAAATTGTCTTGAGGAGCATGGAACCCAGACGGAAATTTGATTTTGATTTTTTTTTTTAAATAAAGGCCTGCCTCTAATAAAAGCCTGCTTCAAATAAAAGCCTGTTACCTTCTGCAGTTTAGGTAAATAAAGGCCCCGGCTTTTATTTGAGGAATTACGGTACTACGATTTGGGACGTATAGTTCTATTTTCGAATACTATTTAGGACGGATAGTATGCGAATTGGAACGCAGCAAATAACTTTTTTTACGGTGAACTTTCATATATAAAACTTTGCAGGATGTTTTTGTTCACTTAGATCTGTTACTCACTACATGAAAGGTAATTTTCTAAATTCCATAATAGGTGCCCTTTAATTTACATCTTGTGAAAAGGGCATTTTACCACCCCTTTAAAAGCGTCTCACACAAATTGTAAACAAGTTGACATTTTTTCTTTTATAAAAATAGATTGTTTTACGAGTGAAATACTTACCGATGTCCATTTTTCTTGACATATTTTATTTTTTGCCTTAGTATGACCTAATAATGAAATATAGTTCCACCATGCAGCAGTCTAGTAGTTTTACTTGAAAAGTATTTTCACGGTGTGTTTGACGGGACTCACTCACTTCCTGATGCTTCAAACCGCAACACCATGAGGCGTGTCCAAGAGCGTAGTTTTAGTTTGAACATTTGAAATGAAGTGTGTACCGTTTAACGTTAGCGGAGATTTGTTTGTTTGCTTGTTTATTTTTGCGGTATCATCCACATACAACGTTTACTGATAACATACATAATAGCTTAACGTTAGTTAACAATAACTTGTTTAGGCTACATAGGATAGGTATTTTATATAATTTAAAGGATTAGTTCACCTCAAAATGAAAATTTCCTGATAATTTACTCACCCCAATGCCATCCAAGATATCCATGTCTTTCTTTCCTCAGTGGAAGAGAAAATACGTTTTTTGAGGAAAACATTTCTGTATTTTTCTTCGAATAATGGACTTCAATGATAGTTAACGTTAGCTAACCAACGTTTTGAGGTCTAAATCAATGCAGTTTCAAAGGGCTTTAAAGGGGTTCAGATGGTTCTGCGCGAGGAATAGGGTCTTATCTAGCGAAACGATCGGTCATTTTCTTAACAAATAAAATAAAATTGATATACTTTTTAACATTAACAGCTTTTTAACCACAATTGTTCATCTTGTTTGTTTTTTTTATTGCAGAAAATTAACATACAAATAATAACAAAATATGAACAGTCAAGACAAAAAAAAAATAAAGAAAGCATAGCTCACATTCAATTTTAACAAATAAGGATATTACAAAACACCAGGGGTATTGAGGAGTGTATTATAGCATTTTAAATATTTCACAGATTTTTAGTTTTTTAACAGTCTTATTGAATAAATGTAACAATCAAAGTCAGAACAAAACAAATTTAACACAGGAGATGAATTAAGAAATTTTTGTTTATGTATGTGAAATTTTGCTAATAAAATAAAAAGGTTAACAATAAATTCCAGATCCTTATTGCTTTTATTTTCATAATACACGGTAATATCCTTTAAAGTAAAGCAATAATTAATATTCATCAGATTAAATATAAAATCTGCCAAATCAGTCCAAAACTGGTTAATAGGCTTAATGCCGAGCGTCACGTGACCAAACCGGAAAACAGGTCTCATTGCATCCGCTTGTCAGAGAAAGTGTTAACGGCCGTAAGAACTAACTACGATATCTATGGATTTTTATGGTAATCAGCTAACCTACTAAGTTCACTTTGTTATTGGTGTTTTATGCTATTTAAATATCTAAACGTTTGTGTGAAGAAGGTACTTGGTTTTGCTCATTTTTGCTTGCTCCTTTTAAGTTATCTTGAGTAAAACAGCAAAAAATTTCATGAAGCACATACAAAAGACCTGAATCGGAAGCGATGTGATCTGTTTTCCGGCTTGGTCTTGTGCTGTCTGCGACGCGCCAGGCATTACGTCATCACGTTGGAAAGGTCAAGTGGAAGTACCGCCCCATTGTTTTAAACATCCAGGATACGCACACAGAAGGACCATTTTAAACAATAAACTGACACAAAGACATAAATATGTCATTCAACATACAGTAAAATTTGAACGATCCCCCTTCTCCACGCTTGTAAATAATGGGGCTGTACTTCCACTTGACCTTTCCAACGTGATGACGTAATGCCTGGCGCGTCGCAGACCAGGAAATGTTTTCCTCAAAAAACTTTTTTTCTCTTCCACTGAGGAAAGAAAGACATGGATATCTAGGATGGCATTGGGGTGAGTAAATTATCAGGAAATTTTCATTTTGAGGTGAACTAATCCTTTAAGCACCTAAAACCTTATTAGTTTGATTTCTTATTCTGAAAATGTTAATATCCTGTAGGGGTGCTCCGATCAGGATTTTTGGGGCCGATCACCGATCGCCGATTACTGGAAGCTGTATCACCCGATACCGATACCGATAACCGATTACAGGGTCTATTTGAAGACTTCTTTTTATCATGTAGCATTACTTATTAAACTATATTTAACAACAATGTACATTAAGTATTACATTTAAGAGAAGACAATGCATAATGAATTGACACCTGTGTATTTATTTGCAAGCAACATGTATTAACATAGAAGCTTGGTTATTGGGAACAGCTTATGGCTTGACATACAACTTTCCTGTAGAATATAAAATAAAATGAATAAAAGACAGAACATCTGAGTCTTTAAATTTAGCTTTAGACTACTTTAAACATTATTTTGACTATAGCCTTTTTTTGTTGCTGTTTTTAGTTTAGAGTCAGTCAGCCATCAGTTCCCTTTCGAGAGGTTCCTCTTATTGCGTAAGTAGCTTACGCTATGGGAAAACTCCTTTTCTCGAGAAATATTGAGGTCTTTATGTAAAACGCATTGCAGCTGCACAGCATACAGCAATGAGCGAGGCAGCTCGGTCATTGGCTGTGCTGTGGCAACTGCACGAATCTATGACGGGGCGACTCTGAACCCGCTTCCAATGAGCGTGCTTCGCGCGTCAGAGCCCGACAAGATGGGCGTGGCCAAGGGCTATATATTGAGCGCCCCGTCATCTGAGTTCTTTAGATTTAATCTCCTTCAGCAAAGAACCTTCTCTTCGCTGGATCCTCCGGATTTATTGGAGTCTCTTCGCCGCCGCCGTCGACAAGCCTACAGCAGGACTGCTTCGAGGACGCCGGCGCCTTCAGCCGCCTTCGATCGCCCTTCTGCTAAGCCATCCGGCGCGCATCATCTGAATATCCTTTTACAAAGCTTTCAGTGTTCGCCCCCGCGACACTTTCTAAAAGAGCAAACTTTACAAGGCGTTGTTTCAAATGCCTTCCTGCGCCTCGTGTCGAGGCCCTCTTCAGGACGGGGATCGTCACATCATCTGTGCCCGCTGCCTGGGACCGGACCACGCAGAGGCTGCCCTTACTCGAGGCGGATGTCCCGAGTGTGACGCCCTGGGCCTCACCGAGCTACGCGCTCGCTTCGCCGTTTTCACCGCGAAAGAGCCCACCTCTTCCGTGCTGCCATCTCCTCTGGTCGAGCCGCGCAAGAAAAAGCGCCGCTCACAGAGGCCGCCGGAGCACCACCGCTTCACCACCACCTGATGACTCCCCGCCGCCAGTCCAGTTCACACAGGCGGACCAGCACCCCTCCAGCGGAGCGATGGGGCTCGTCTCGTTTGGCGCGTCAGGGGATGACGATGACAAGGATGACAGTTTTTCGTGTGATGCTGCATCCGACGAGTGGCCGGGTTCGTCGTTCGACCCCGCGCCATCGACATTAGCGGGCACGAGCGCGGGCTCCAGCATGGATTCCGAGATCGTCCGCATCCTGTCTAAGGCCGTGGAAGACCTCGGGCTCGATTGGTCTTCCCCGGAAGAACCCGCCCGCAGCCGACTGGACGAGTGGTTCCTGCAGGGGCGCCGACAGGCCCCTCGACAAAGACCCTCCCCCTTCTTCCCGGAGGTTCACGACGAACTCACGAAGTCGTGGAAAGCCCCGCACTCCGCTCGCCTGAAGCCTTCTTTTTCTTTGTCGCTCTCCTCTGTGGACGGCGCGAAAGAAAGAGGCTATGAGGGGGCTCCGCCCCTCAAGGAGGCTGTGGCCAATCATCTGTGTCCACCCTCCAACGCTGGATGGAAAGCTAAAGCTTCTCATCCCTCGAAGCCTTGCCGGTCTACTTCAGCTCTCGCCGGTCGCGCATACGCCGCCGCCGGCCAAGCTGCATCAGCGCTTCACTCTATGGCTGTCCTCCAGGTGTTTCAAGCTAAACTTCTCCGCAGTATGGACGAGTCTGGACCCGATCCTGAGGCATTTAAGGACCTACGCAGCGCCACTGACATAGCGCTGCGAGCTACAAAAGCCACCGCCCAATCCATCGGCCGTGCTATGGCTAACCTGAGTGTCCTTGAGCGCCATCTGTGGCTGACGCTAACAGAAATGAAGGATGCAGATAAGGCGCCATTTCTCGACGCGCCTATCTCACAAAGCGGCCTGTTTGGACCAGCGGTGAAGGAGTTCGCCGAGCGCTTCACCGAAGCCCGTAAGGACTCGCAGGCTATGCGTCACTTCCTGCCCAAATGAGCTAGCTCATCGCAGAGCCGCCAAAGGCCGCCTCAGCAGCAGCGAGCTAAGACGGCGCCTCCCGTCTCTCAGCCCAGACCTGAAACAGATTTTCGACGCCGCTCGCGCTCTGCCAACAGGAAGCAACCGCCCGAGCGACGGGGACCTCGGCCCAAGATTGTGCTGAACCCAGAGCCTCGTAAGTCCTCCTAGCTACAGGGAGAAAAAGGGGGAGCGCGTGTCTCGCAAAAGCCGGACCGTTCTCTCCAAAACGTTTAAAGCATTACCCAGTCCCCTTACAGGCGGCTGGAAATGTCTATACAGCAGCCAATGTGCCAGCAACACAGCTCGCCCACCTGCAAACAAACGCCGTTTTTACGGCGACACACAGAAATCACATAAAGAGCTATTTTCTGCCTGTGTCATTAAAGGGTCACGTGTCCACACCAAAGTGCGCATTCCCACATATCAAAACTGTCAACGCAGTGCCAAATGTTTTCCCAGCTCAAGCTGGACGCCCCATAAATGTAGATTGTGTGCCAACTGTCACGTATGCACCACTACACATAAGCACTGTTCCCACAGTTATAAACACTTCCCCAGTAAAAGCGGGAAGTTTTATAAGAGTGGCGCGTGTGCCCGCTGTTATGCATGCACCCCAACTCACATACAGTGTTAAACATTTCCCCATCTCGCTCTGTGAGCATTACGGCGAGCGTGCCTGTAATCTCACACACACCCCTGCACTCGGCATTCAACAAAGCTGCTCAGCGTGCGTCCGCGCCGCTGAGAGCTGTAAGCTCGACATTAGCACAAGGCGATTCGCTGGCGGGAGCCATACGTCACTGCGACACGCCCCCAGCCAGCATTCAGCCCATATCTGTGCGAGCGAAAGCTTGGGAAAATATCCCCGACATGCCGAAATG